TTTTACAGTTTCGTCACTTACTTGCGTTAATTTTTACGAACATACTGTAATGTTGTATTGGTAAAATTTGGAACCAATTCGAAAATGTATACAGAAGCTACAAAACATTTATTACAAACATAACACGCTTGAAGGTATAATACAGTAATATACAACATATAAGCTATGTATATTTATTTTATACTAAAGTAAATATAACAACGATCGCAAATGCTATCGTGCATAAATAATTGGACACCCAGTTCAAAAGATTCTCTATTTCGTTTCCGTAGTTATCGATCAACAAACATTTTTCTATTGTCAATTTTACCATACATCTTACATCATAAGTGAGATCAAACGTTGTGTCAAAATTAATCTGAAACAAAGAATCCCTGATGTATTCATCTCTGATGACTAACTAACACTTCATAAAATTATAACTTGTTTAAATGTGACTAAGAGTATGTCTATATATGTCTAATGTTACACTGAACACATTTAAAGTCGCTTGACTAAGATTCTGCAAAATTAATCTTCAATCACGTTCAATGTTATTTGTACTAATTGATATTGCACATTGTAATTGATATTGATATTGTACGTGTTAATTAAAAAGATTCATGCGATTCATATTTTATAATTTCTAACTGTCCAAGTACTCACGCACAACAGCGTACATCCACGAATTATACCAAAAACGGAAAGTGACAAATCAAATCACGTGTTAAACCTTATCTAAGAAGAACGTAAGCCAACGAAACTGAATATCCCTTTTTGTAGATTATCAAACCTCTGAAGATTCCATCCGATCTTCGTAAATGACCGTGTCACGTAATTCATTGTATACTGAAACTAATCGAAGGAAAACAGACTTTGCTATCCGCATTCCATCGAGATCCTATTACCGCGACGTTTCTACCTAGTAATTACTTCGATTCGTACATTCATAAACTTTTCTATCCCTCCTGGTCGACGATGGTGGAGCGTGAACAAATATTTTCTTCTAATATCTGGAGGACGAACGTCTGAATTTCTCCTTTGAGGAGTGTGAAATTCAGTAGAAACAGCTGGGAATCGTCAGACGCGGCGGGGAGATATCGTTCGAGACACCATCGCCACCGGCGATACCACTGATACGTTTTCGTTATCGTTCTCTCTGGAGCATCGTATTAAGTAAGCTACGAGCTTTTTGCGCGTACTACTCCGTCTGCACGGAGCTCTTGATTCAACATCAAAGCGACCGGATACACGGCCGGCCAGATGTGTATTTTTCCCCGTGATCCCTCCGATTTCGTTTCACCAGCTAACCTCCGCGAAAGTCATCCACCGTGATCGTCTGATTCGTCGAAATAATCGAACCGTGGGATTTCGAGGGTGGCGAGCGTGACACTTCGAAGGGACACGTGTCTCTTCGAATGAATTCCATCGAGATTTGATAATTCGGATAATGAAACTAGTCGATCTGCGAACAGTAACATTACGAGAAACATTGGGGTTTGGAAATCATTGGTTGAGAATTGTCGCTTGTTTAATAGCATAGCATCGATTGTCTTCCTGCCATTATATAGTAACGTTTCAGTGTATATATAATACGTGTATATATGTTCAGTGTAATATGTAATACGTGACATTCCATCAAGAAAGAGTATATAAAGAGCATATCGCACCCTTGCGAAGACATTTAGACTCAATATGCATTTGTTCGCTCTGTAGAACTTTTGATTTATTTGAACTAACATTTAGTTAATATTGCTGATTGAATCTAGTTATCTAGAACTTGAGCTCTTATTGTATAAAGGAAACATTGCTAACAGAGGAGATCTCCTGAAATTATATAAACTATTTACCTCTATAAATTCATGTTCCACTGTAAGAGATATTTATAGAATACAGTACAATGTCACATAAATCAGGAAGAGGAACGTAATGACTTTCTATCTATTCTAGGCAAATAATGAATAATATTTTTATAATTGTTCAAGGGAATCTTTCTCTTTGCAACAATTTTATAGTGATAACTCGAAAGTCATATTTTCGAGTTGTGTCATTTTCTTCACAAGGATGCGATATGTCTTGCTGGATGCATTCAGATTTGGATTACAATCTTGGATTCTCGATCTTCGAACAATTTGAAACTCGATCGAGAAATTCGAAATACATCGAAGAGAGAGAGAGAGAGAGAGTTAATATTAAACAACGAATAAAATTCTGTTCGTTACTCCTTCAAAGATCAAAGATGTCAACTAGATCCAAGTTATAGTTAAACTCGATGTGAATTTTCTCTCAAATTTGAACATTTCAACAGTTTACTTTATCATCATTTAACGTAAGTTTTAAATACTTGGAACATTTTATAGAGGCACTTGAAACGTTTCATATTAGAGAAATTTGGAGATTCTGGGACAGGTTAATTCAATTTAGGTTATTTCTTACGGGGAAATTGAACCTGTTCGAATATTGAGGGTCCACGTTCATGGTGGCTATTCTATCAAGTAAGCGACATACATCAGTGCCCACTTAGTTGACCGTGGTAATTCCTATTAGTCGTTATCACAGGATTTAATCAAACTTTGAACAATACGTTCAACGAGGTTTCTCTACACCTTGCGATCTCACTTTAATCTGTGCTACTCACTTTAATCTACCTGTTTCTGACGGCTTGCATTCACGACAGGATTTCAAAATTGCGGTAACTAAGTGGGCGCCGCTGTAAATAGCTGGGATATTTGAAAGCGAAACTAAAATAAACATCCTCGTCGTGTCAAACGTTAAGCAGTAACGAAAGTAGAACCGAGGGTAGCAACGTTGTAGCCATCACCTGTTCCGAGCCAGAGCCTTGTTTCTCAAATGAGATTATCGTCGGCTGCGTGTTTGCACTGTAACGAGTCGCGATCCATTTTTTGTAGTAATTGACGTCGGTGTACACACCGGGAGTACGTGGCCGGGCACAACCTTCGCCGCCGGAAACCACACCGGTTAGAATTCCGTTGCAGATCATACCACCTCCGGAATCACCCTGAAAAAAGCAAGATTCAATCGATTAAGAACACAGCAATAATTTATCACGATGTTATAAATACTTCGATTCCTTTACAACCTTCAATCGCTATAGAATCCAGATGGAAGAAGTAATCAGAGAGACATTAAACGTTAATCCTTGGTATTGCTTTTCCTAGTCGTAGGTTTTGAAAAAAAAAAAAAAAAAAAAAAAAAAAAACACGATTCGATGTTGCAAATTCACGGAAAGAGAAATGTTGAACGTTTGGTTAAAATGGATAAATTCGCGAAGTTCTCCGATTTTCATTTCAAGTTTGCCCGCGAGTTTTCGCTTTCATATTTCGTCCAAATTACTGCAAAACATTCGTCTGAATTGATAGAAAATAATATTCTTACGCAACAAATTTGTCGGAAACTGCACCGACAGAATCTGATTAATCAACGATGAGCTTGCAACTGTTTTTAACGCGGCGAAAGAGAAGGCAACCTTTAACAAAGTGATTAATATGTCACTGTCAGATAACAGAGACGTCATTGTTCAGATAACAAAGTATATATTAACACGATTAGCGTCGTTTAAATTGTTTTCTCACAAAAATTGCTCGACGTTTTAATAGAATATATGTGCGTTACTTGGCAAGCATCCTTCTGGCCCTCCATGTATCCAGCGCAGAGCATCCCTAGTGGGAAATCAGTTATGTTTTCCAGAAGACTTTTGCACGTGGCGCGACTCAACAATGGCAGGTCCACGTACATAAGGTTCTCGCTCGTTATTGGATAGTCCTGCACAAAATTATCTCCGATATTATAACCAAGATATTTTTCGAAATTTTTCGAATCATCGATCACGATCGGTTTTCAATTTTTCTGCAATACAGTAGCGGACGAAAGATCGAAAGATTCGAAATTGGTATTAAAACGATATTTTAATATTTAATTAATATATTGAATTAATATTAAATTAGTAATTGATATTGAAAGTTGATAAATTAATCTGTACAATATTAAAAATTATATTTATTTATAAATCTACTCATACTCGTGTAGTCATTCCTTTTATGAAATTATCTCGTATTTAAACGTATTCTTGCCTCTATAGTTATAAATTACAGCTAATATTCAATTTTTCTAATTAATTAACGGTTAACAAACCTGCGCAGTATTTTCGAAAAAGTTAATGACAGAAGAAGCAAACGAACTTACTTCCGCTGGGTAACCCCATCCTGCTACTTGGCAAGTGGTGTCTGGAATAGGTCTGTCCTCCGCGAGGGGAGCAACGTTAACTTCCGGCGTTAATTCGAACGGCACCTTGAGCTGCAACGTAAATGCCAGCGAGATAGGATTATTGTTATTATCCTATCCGTGGAAGTGAAAACTAAAATTAAAAATTAAACAAAAGCGAAGATTTGAACGATCGTACAGCAAGAAGAGCTATGTCATTCTCCAATGTTCTGGGATTGAATTCGGCATGAACGTGAATCTTGTCCACACCCCTCTTCTGACTAGTCTCGCTCAATTGACTGAGTTTCAGATTTCCAGCAACTATCGTGATTCTCCACGGCTGCACCTGATCGCCAGTTCTGTGAAAATGGCACCGCGTTCAGAACGATTGCTAATAAACAGAGCCATGAACAGTTCATGCATTCATAAGGGGCGTTTAAATATGCAACGACGTGATGTTGACCATAATGTTCAAAACTATAGAAATTATTCAAATTGGAATACACGACGCGATGCCGAATGAGCGAAGCAAATTTTTGTTGAAATTCTATTTTCCTTGGTTACCTTCATTACGTTCAGAGGTACGGGATTTGCATAAACGTCTCACCGGTCTACCAACGTAATCAACATTTACGCATTTGCGAGGGATTTAAATATGCAAAAGTCGCGCGAGGAACGTGCGTGCAATTTAACCAAATTAAAGCACTTTGTTGTAATATTTAAAGGATTAAACAAGTCTCGTGTGTTGTAATTTTTGTTAAATTGTAATTTTACAAAAGTATGAATTTGCACGGGTGTTGAGAATTGAGTGTGCAGCAAGCAATATATCGTCGCTGTTAATTTATTCAGAATTCGCGTTGAAATTTGAAGGAATTTCACGCCACTCACTCGTCGAACATGCAATGCGCCGCCGTGAGCACAGTATTTGCAGCTATCAAGGATCCTCCGCAGAAATGTTCCAAGTTGTGAGTTTCTCTCAAAGATACCTGCGAATCATTTCCAAGAAGACAATCCACTTGTCCCTCGAACCGTGTAATTACAATTGATGTATCGGAGAAGAAAGCACTCGATCTTACTAGACGTCGATTAATACAACGCGTACCTGATAAGGAAATTGCCTCAGTGCCGCCTTTGTTCCATTAACTATACGTCCATGCAAGTTGTAGGGTGTCCATTCTACCATTAATTTGGGATCTACGTTGGTCTCATTTTCTCGAGTAGTTGACGACAGTGGAACAAAACCTATAGAAATTATAGATAAACATATTAATATATGATATACAATATAATTATACAGATAATATACTTTTTTTTTAATCAACTCGTATCTTTCATTGATCGTGTGAAATTCTATCGATCGTGTATTCTATAAATTTTCTATTGATTTTCCTCTTTATCAAATTGTTCTATAGAATTCTTTTTTCATTAAATGAATACGCACTTTACTTGTTTGTATCCTGCAATTTTGGAAATTTCTAAAAGTAATCCACATTCATCGACGTAAGACAAACGAACGAAAAACGAACAGAAAATTCTATAAAATTGCACGTGGTAGTAAAATCAAACCATGCAAGCTGTCTTTCAAATTTTTCAAAATCAATTCTCTTCTCTGTTGTACTGTAAATTGTTGTCCAATTTGTGGAAGAAAGTTGCGAACTTTTGTTAAATAAAAATTATATAGCTTGTTGCTTTTCGAAATCTCGTAGATCAAGAGAACGACATGAAATAAACGAACATCATCAGAATAAAAAATTTCAGTAGAATTAAAAAATCAATCATGGAACAATTGCTACAATCTCGTGCTATCAAAATGCGTTCATTGTTTGCTTACCGTTGACTAAATTATTCGTGAAAAACACGAATGCCAAAGCAAGAGGAATTATCCGCGTCTTCCCTTTCTTATCACTTCTGTCGTGTTCCATATTATTTTATTGTATCGTTAAATCGTGTTCCTCTTCCGTCGCCCACTTGCCACGGACTGATCACGATACGATATTTAGAATGGATAAAAAAATCTGGCTATCATCGGTACCAACTGGCATTATCTTGAACGATATCTATCAGTTATCTCATATTGTATACGTCAATTAGTATTGAAATAATTGGTAAACGCTTCTTCGAGAAACAACAATACGGCTCGTGTTTTTTTTTTTTTTTTTTTTTTTTTCAAACGGGACTGTTCTAGAAAATTTCCGAAAGAGTTTTATATTTAGCCAACTACGTCACTCTCTGCAAAGATAACAATCAAAACGCACTCGATCGAACGTTGTTAACAATCGATCGCGACAAATATATACTCGACTCGATTTTGGTCGTTCTGTGTGTCGACCTATATAGTTTGTAGGACTCTCACGTACATTATATCAATTGACCAGAGTATCGAGATAAGGAATATTGACGATATTGGGAAATTGAGATTTCAGTGAAGACAGAGATATATTTTTCTGATAGACGATTTCTTTATCTGTTGTTGGCGTAACACTTTCTCTCTGTATTGTTGCATAGAAAATGGCCAATTTCACAATCGGAGAATCACGCGGAATTTGATCATTCGAAACTATATCTATGTTTGTCAAGTTACTGAAATTCAACTTACCAACTCGTTGATTTATTCGAACAGTTGTCTGAATATTTAATTTTAATAAATTTCTCGATATCCACTAAATTTTTGACGTGGTTAAAACAAATGTTAAAATGGATTCGTAACTGTTGCATAGAAAATGGCCAA